ACCACCAAAGGGGGCACGCAGGGGGGCGGCCTCTGACTCGCTTCACCGCATTATTGCGTGGCGGGGGTGGCTTCTTCGCTGCCAGAAGGGCTGCGCAGGGAGTGCGGTCTCTGCCCGTTTCACCGTATCTTGCGTGGCAAAGGCTGTGCTTCCTCGCCCGCCCGGAAGGGGCGAGCAGCGGGCTCGGTTTCTGTCGATTTCACGGTGTGTTGCGTGGCACGGGTTGTGCTTTCTCGCCACCAGAAGAGGTGCGCAGGGGGTGCGGTCTCTGCCCGCTTCACCGCACACTGCGTGGCAATGGTGACACTCCCTCGCCACCAGAAAGGGGTTGCGCAAGGGTGCGGTCTCTAGTCGCTTTACAACGTACGTATATGTGAATAGATAAATATTGTGGCAGGGGTTGCACTTCCTCGCCGCCAGAGGGTGTGTTCAGGGGGCGCGGTCTGTACACGTCCCACGCTCCTGACTACGGCGTGGCAGGGTGGCACTCCTTCGGGTGGCAGTGGAGGCGCTTTGGTAAGATGAGCATGCCCACAAGAAACCAACACCAAGCATGTGGGGTCCTTTCGGTGGCGCCCGAAGCGCCACTGTACAGAGGAGAGGGGGCGGCGGCGGGGCCGAAACCAACTGCTTGCACCAGATTTCGCCCCCCCCTCCACAGGCAACCCCTCGGGCCTTCTCAGAAACTTTCGGTGCCTCCGGGGAGGGCTCAGCGAACTTTTCGGAAGACCCGAAGCCAGAGGGCTCGCCCCGTCTCACTTTCCCCCTGGGCTCGCAACCGAACTCCCCCCCCTTTCGTCCGACACGGGAGGATCGGGCCGGGCGAAAGGGAGGGATAGCAAAAGGGGGGGTTTGATAATCAGCTCGCAGCTGATTTTCCCGGCGCCTCCCGGCGCCGGAGACGGCTATATATCGAGGAATGGGCCCCTCGGTGTGGCCGAAACCAACTTCATACAGCAACTTTCGTAACCCCCCCTTTCCCAATCCCCCCCTTTCGCCCGACGCGGGAGGAGCTCCCCCCTACCACTCCGGTTCCACGGGATTTCCACGGGAGGCACCATGGGGAACACGACGACGCAGACAAGCAGAGCGGTGCCCAGCACCGCCACGTCCTGCAAGAACTCCAGGGCCTGATACGGCAGCAGCGTGTCGACCGCGTCGAGGTCCTTCCGAAGGACGTCAACTGACCGCCACACCGACCCTGGCCGGGGATTTTCTGACCTCGGTCAATCCAGTCCCAGGTCAATCAGGCCTTGCAGAATCCTGCAAGATCCTGCCCCAAACCTGGATCAATGCGAAGGATCCTGCAAGATCATGCGCCCAAACCCGGGTCAATGCGCCCCTGGCCCTGCAGGATCCTGCAAGATCTGGCGGCGCTCTGGCTGACCCCCGTCTGCATTGACCCCCGTCTCAAGGCTCTCGACCTGGCCTGCCCACCCTGGACCTGGGGTCGTTGTCGATGCTCCCTGGGCCAAGCCAGGACTGTGTACACGCCTTTCCCAGGCCCAGGGTCGACCCCGCCCAGGATCGGTGCGGTGGTCAGCCGACGCCGCCCAGTCCTTGCCGAAGAAGTTCAGGAGCCGCCCGGGGGGCATCACGTCGAAGAACGTGTGGATCGGCGCCCTGCAGAGGCCCTCCAAGAGGCGGGAGTGGACCCTCCTGGAGGAGCGCCTCGCGAGCGCCGTGAAGACGAGGGCTCGGGCCAGCGCCAGCAGGAACGTCAGCGCCACCATCAGCGAGAAGCGCAGAAGCGCGGTGCCGTCGACGGTGGCGCCCTGCTCCTCCAACACCTGCGCGAGGTAGAGCTCCGCGAAGACGCGCACCAGGTCCGGAAGCGCCAGGGCCACCATGACCAGCACCAGCAGCGCCGCCGACGTCGCCGCACCACCGCCTGGGGTGGGAGGGGGAACGATAAACAGGAAGGGGACCGGCTCCTCGGGGTTGGGTGAGGCCTCGACCTGGCATCGGCGGTGCGTCGCCGATAGGTCGGCGACAGGCACCCGACAGCGAAACCGCGCGTTCCTGGGCGGGATGGGCCACCCCGCCGCCCCGCGTCGGCGACTGGGCCCGGCCCTCCGCTGTGGCTGCCCCGGACCGCCGCGCCCCCCGAGGCCGAAGTAGTCCCGATACACGCTCGGGTGCAGCGGCCCGCGCTTCCGCACCTCCGCCTCGTAGAGCCTGCTGGCCACCTCCCCCGCGCGCGCCTCCGGGGCCGCCCCGCCGGGGGGAGGGCCTGCCGCGAGCTCCTCTGCGCCGACGCCCGCCGGCAGCCCCCGCGCGATCCAGGAGGGGCTCGCGCCCTCGGGCTCGCCCTCGTGCTCGGCGCGCTCGGTCCGCCCCGCGGCCAGCAACTGGGCAAACTCGGTCGCCTCGAACTCCTCCTTGCGCCGGAAGGCCGTCGCGACGCCCTGCTCCACGAGGACGATCACCTGCGCGACGAAAACGGGTCTCATACACGATGACGCAGCGACCTTACGCCGCGGCTTGGCGCGGCAAACTGCGTCGGGAACGAGGGCGCTTACGCGCGACCTAGCGCGGGACGCTGGCGCGCCAACGTTCGCGCAGTCGGCCCCGTCTTCCCCAAGTATAGGCTCACCTACGGGGTTCTTACTTGGTTATAAGGTTGGTGCCTCGGAATGTTCCTTTGACCGCTGTTCGGAGGTTCCCCGGGTTCCCCACACCCCGTGCCTCCTATTCTTACGCTGCCCATTTCTCGGAAACTCCTCGGGTTCACCGGGTTCCCGGGGTTGCCTGGGATCACGCAATACCAAGCACTGCCAAGCAGTGCCACAAGCAATGCCACAAGCAAGGCCAAACAATGCCAAGCAATGCCACGCTCTGCGCCCATGCATTCGGAAACTTTCCCCTAATTGGGGTCGCGCCGAGTTCATCTTCCGCCGCTCACCTGCGCGTGGGGCAACAACGCCTCGTAGTGGGAGTTGAGGACCGCCACCCGCGTCCGCCCCGCCAGGTGCCCGAGGACGGTGCCCTCGACGAGCGCCTCGGCGGTGGCCTGGTCCAAGCTGGAGAGCGCGTCGTCCAGCACGTAGGCCCGCGCGCCCTGCAGCGCCAGGGCGCGCGCGAGGGCCAGCCGGGCCTTCTGCCCGCCACTCAAATTGAGACCACGGAAGCCGATCTCGCAGTCCGCGCCGCCCGGGAGCGCGCGGACCTCCTCCTCGAGAGCGGCGAGCCGCAGGGCCTGCCACAAGCGCTCCTCGTCCCCGCCCGCGTGGCCGAGGACGTTCTCCCGCACGGTGCCGCTCAGCACCCACGGCTCCTGCGGGCAGAAGGCCACCGGGCCCGCGGCGCCCCCCTCGAGCTCCCCGGAGACGCGGGGCATCCACCCGAGGAGCGCGGAGCACAGGGAGCTCTTGCCGCCGCCCGAAGTGCCGACCACCACAGCCAGCTCTCCAGGGCGCACCTCCAGCCCGGGCGCCCGCAGCTCGTCGCGCCCGGGCCGCCCCTGCGCGCCGCCGCTGGCCCAGGCGAAGACGCCGTCCGCGACCTGCAGGCGCGCAGGCTCGGGCTCGGCCGTGGCGTCCGTCGGGGGTGGGCGGGCAGCGTCTTCGGGGCCGGCGCCGCCGCCCGTGCTGCGCTCCTCGCGGAGGAAGCCCTGCACGCGGCCCAGTGAGGCCAGGCCCTCCGACAGCGCCGCGAGCTCGAACGGGATGACCTTAGAAGAGGGAAGCAGCATACACAGATTGCACTGCCAGGGGTCCGCGCGGACCTCCGAGCATCGATTCCCCAAACAATGCTTGCCGCTCTGGCGGCTAATGTTCCCGCCATCGCCGCCCCGTCGCCGCCTCGTCGCCGCCCGTCGCTTGGGCATGTCAGCCGTTCTGGCGGCTATGATGCCGCCGTCTCCCCGTCACCGCCTCGTCGCCGCGTGTCGTCAGGGCATGTGTGCCGGTCTGGCGGCTATGTTGCCGCCGTCGCCGCCCCGTCGCCGCGTCGTCGCCGCCCGTCGCGTGGGCCTGTCTGCCGGTCGGGCGGCTAGGTTGCGCCGTCGCCACCGCGCCGCCGCCTAGATTGCACAACGTAGGTTGTACAACATAGATTGCACCGCGTATATTGTACCTCGTTAGTTGTACCACATCGATTGCGCACCAAATCTTGCACCGCATCTATTGCAAGTCTACTGCGCGCACGCCATATAGATAACACCACACATATTGAACCACATATGCTGGACCGCATAGATTGCACAACGCAGTCTCCTTTCAAGAGAAAACGGACCCCCCCCCCGGGATTATCGACCCCTCTTTCGTATTGCAATTTAATTTTGATTCCGCCCCCTCGCCCATATGAGCTCGCAAAGGGGGCCAGTATCCGCCCCCCCCCGCCATCCCCTGCAAACACCACCATGCGCGCGCACGCGTTTATCAAAGACCATAAGGTTTCAACCATCCCTTGCAACATTTGAAACGAAGTGCGCACGCGCGGGTCAACGCGCGCACGTGTCGAAATCCTTTCAGACAACTTCGGCTTCGTGGGTTTCAGAATCGAGCGTCCCCAAACACATACAAAAAGAAAGGGTTTCGCAACACGGATCTTCAAATAACAAAATGCGTGCGGGCTCTTGCGACTTCTTCAGGAAACCATGCGTTTGCGTTTGTCTCTTGATTTCTCGTTCGGAAAATTGCTACGAAACGGGCCTCGCGCGCGCGTGTCCAAATCTTTTGAACCGTCGCGAGAATCCGCTGCAAGAAATTACACCAAGTGTGCGCGCGCACGTCGTCGCGCGCGCGTGCTGGAATCCGTCAAACACCCTCGGCTTCGTAGCGATGTCAAAACCGGGTGCAACATCAATTTTTCCAAAAAACGTGCGTTCGCGTTTTTGGGGTTCTTGATGCCAAACGGGCCTCTGGCGCCACATGCCAGCATCATTCGCGCGCCCTGCGTGCGGGGGGGGGGGCACGATTGCCAAATAGTACCATGCGGGCCATTCTCGCGCTCGGCCGCGCGCGCATGTCGAACTCTTTTCAAAACCTTCACCACCAACGCGAGGACGCCATCTTCTACCGCGCCCGCCCAAGCCGCCGACTCGCAGTGAATTGCCCTCTGGGACGTGCCCAACGTCAGCGCCACCGCGGCCGCGTCGGTCGCGCCAAACTAGCTGGCCGCTGCACGCGCGCGTTTGGGTTGGCGAGGCCGCGGAAATGCACCAGCCAACGCCAACCACTCATCGCAATCGCCACAGCATGGACTTTGCAAACCAAGTTGCGGGTGGGCGGGTGGGATGATTGCAAGAGCATGGGATGTCAACTCGATTGTGAGAACCAATTGCACAACATATGTTCATCACGCAGATAGTTCCACATCGATCGCGCCACGTCGATTGCACCGCATCGATCGCACCACATATATTGCACAACGCACATTGCACCACATAACTTGGTCCACGCAAATTGCACCAAGTCGACTGCACACCATGGGTCGCGCGGCATATATTGCACAACGCAGATTGCGCCGCAAAGATTGCACAACGTAGATTTCGCAACATCTATTCCACCATCCAAATTGCACCACGTCGGTTGCGCCACAAAGATTGCGCACCATTGCGCACCACATATGTTGCACAACATTGATATCACCACGGATGCTGGATTCCAACGTGGGTCTGCTACTACAGAGAAGGCCATGAAATAAACGTTGAAACACATAGTCTGCCTATCCGTGCATATGCGGTCTGGCAAAAAGGGGCGGCACCAACGCGACGCCTTGGACCGTCGTGGAGTCGAGCCCTTGGCCTGGAAACGCGCCGCGCACGACTACCCAGATCATGAAGTTCTGCAACCGATCGCTGTGTTCTGGGGGGGTGTGCGGACACGCAAAACACTGACCAGCTGAGCGTTAGCTGGCGCCCTCGTCATCCTCATGCCCCAGCCCCCCGTCCCCCCAATCTCCTTTCGTTGTCGCCCCACTTTCCCCATGCCCCTTCCGAACCCCCCCAGTCCTCATCATGCCCTTCATCCTCTTTGTCAACCCCCCCATATGCCAGCTCATGTCGTTCCTCGTCGTCCTTCTTCACCGGATGAGTTCCCCCATCATCCACGCGCCTGCCCTCCTCCCTTCCTTTACGCCCTAGTGCAGATCATTCCCTTTCTTTCCCCCCCCTGCCCCTCTGGCCCCCGTGATGCTGACACCGATGATGCTGCTCCTCCTGGGCCCATTTCCTCCCTTCTTCGTCCTGCCCGTTTCATCCCCGGCCCATTCGCCACCCCTCCTCTCGAACCCTTTCCCCCCGTAGCCCAACATCCCCCCACCCCGGCGCGTCTGCCCTCCCAGACCGCGGTCCTTTCCTGGACCGGCCGGGAAATCCGCAGAAATTCCGACCCGGTGACCACTGTGGCGAACGGCGCGCAACAGATGCACTGTTGGACACACGAACTGTGTACTTCGACCGCGTACAGCGCCTCCCCTGGACCAGCCGATACAGAAACATGATAATTCCCGCCCAGTCAACACCACCCGCGAAGGGCACACTCCAAATACACAGGGGGGAGCGAGATCTGTGTACACAGATTACACCACGATCTGTGTAAACAGTAGACCCACACACAATTACACAGTTGAAAACATTAACTGTGTACACATGTCAAACCTGGATCTGTGTATTTCGAAAAAAATGACGCCCGCCACCTCGAGGGTACTCCGACTTTGAAAACCCAGAACCGAAGTCGACGTGCCCAGTTACGGGGTGCAAATACACACTTCCCCGGCCTACGGCGGCCCCTAGGGAGCTGCAAATACACTCGTCCCTCGCCCAGCCCAGCCACGTTGAAGCGCGGCGCCTAAACGGTCCCCAGCGGCCCCACGACGTCACAAAAAGGCCCCGGATGACCCCAAACAGTGCCGCGCAGCATCCCGAGAACACGAAAGGTGTCACATGTCACGGACCTTTTTAACAATCGAAGCTCCACGCGTCGCCCTGCGCTGGTTAGGGGGCGGACCTTGCCGCAAGCACTTATACATTTACACGTTTGCGATGCAGCTGTGTTTGGCGGCCGCGCCGCCCGCGTTTGGGGTGCGCCCAGAACGCTTGCATCGGCAATCCCCTCTGTTTGGTTGCGCCGCCGTGCTCGAATGTCGAGAAGGCGGTGTACCGCTGAAACGGGCACGCGGCACCAGGGACTTCACTTCCCTTCTTCGAACAAGGAGGGGAGACGAGGTAATAAGGACGACGGACGGCGCATCAGGGGGGCAAAAAGGGACAAGGAAAAATGGGGGATGTGGAATGGGGCGCTCTCCCGCCCAAGCCGCGGACGCTTTCGACACCATCCACGGGGTAGAAGAAAGGAGGGGAACGGAGCAAGGGCGAGGACGACGACGGGAAACAAATTGTCCTCGGTCCGCACATCGCCACATGTTTGCGATCAGGGCTTGCGCGCTTCCTTCGAGGCAACTCCAACCCGACCCATACTGAATTCACTAATCACTCCAAACCGTGTAAACATTCTGTCCTCTGCACCCCCTCCTATACAACTGCCTCGAAACAGAGGGGCAGAGGATTCCAACTGTCACACATAGCGTATCACAGATACTGCCCCACAAATATTGGACTACATATTCAGCACAGCATAGATGGCACGCCATGTGTTATTGCACAACATCGATTGCACCACGTAGTTTGTACCACACATGCTTCCTCATATAGTTTGCAAACAGATATTGCCAGAGACGCCCCTGTTTGGGGTCCGCGCTGGCTAACGTATGCTTCTTCCGATTCTCACAGCGCTCGTGCTACCAGAAGGGGCGCTGAATAATAAGGAACGAAAGGGGTTTCTAATTAGCCACGGCGAGCGTCGGCCACGAACAGTTTCCCCGAACTCAATCTGAGGAGCGGCCCGGAAACCAGAGCCCCTCCTGAGCCCAAAGCGGTCCTTGTTTCAACTTCCTGACTTTGTGCTCCGAGGGATGACCATGAAGACCACGCGGTTGGCGTTCAGGAGCGCCAGCGCAGCGAAAAGCCCTGGCAGAGTGACCTGCTGCTGGCCCTGCCGGGCCACCACCAGCACTGCGAGGAGGCTGAGGTGGACGAGGCAATACGTGAACGAGCCGTTCAGCGCGCGGAGGAGCAGGACCCGGCGCTGGCGCGCGAGCTCCACGCCTCTCTCGCCACAGATGCGCTCGCTCAGTACGCCCTCCAGCCCCATCATCTTGATGCTCCGGATGTTCTCCAGGAGCTCCTGCGTGGCGGCCAGGCGCCGATCCGAGGCCGCCTGCATGTCCCTTCGCGCAGACACCAGCCAGCCCATGAACACGCGCTGCACCAGGGTGCCGCCCACCAGCACCGCGCAGCCGCCGAGCCCCGCAGGCCCGAGCACGAGCACGAGGAGCAGCAGGCACGCCGTGACCATCAGAAAGTCAATCCACAGGAAGAGGCCGTAGTGGCAAAGGATGTACGCCCGCTCGCAGTCCACGCTGACGAGCGTCGAGCAGAAACTGCTGAGAGCGTGGGACCCGATCCTGGCGCAGGTGCCCCCGCCGAGCCGCAGGACCTGGTGGTACACGGCGCAGGCCAGGGCGCTGCGGACCTCCACGCCGAGCGCGGAGTGGAGCCGGTGGACGCAGGCGATCACGAGGCCGGTGCAGGCGATGCAGGCGGAGGAGGCGGCCACAAAGGCCCAGCCCCTCAGTTCGTCGCCCTCCCGCAGGAGGCACTCGAGGACCTGCCCCATCAGCAGGGGCGGCAGCTCCATGAGCAGCGTGCCCGCGGCGCCCGCCAGCGCGGCCCAGGCGAGCGCCCGCGCCCATGCCTGGGAGGACGACGTAAACGCATTGGACCACAGGACCTCTCGGAGATCCGCGCGGATGTCTTGGATCGGCACTGGACTCCCCTCTCTGGCGCGCGGAGCGCGCCAGGGGCGGCCAGGGGCGGCGCCTCCAGGGCCCAGCGCAGATCCAAGGAGTCCAGCGCGGACCTCCGACAGTTGATTTGCTAGCCTGGAACATATCCCTATCCCTAAGCTGGGCATCGCCTCATCACAATGCCAATCTTAGGGATTCCCTTAGTTTTTCAGGGCGCATCCCTAAGATTGTCATCGCCTTTTGGCGTGTCAATCTTAGGGATAGGGATAAGTTCGAGCCTGGTGATTTATGTGCATGCGGCATGGTTCTTCTTAGACTTCCAACGAGAGCGCTCTCGGCAGCGAGCGGCGCTTCGCGCCCGCAGGCGCCGACCAACACCGCCAGAGCCTGGCGGCGACCCGGGCGCCCTGCGCCGGGCGAGGCACTGGCCACACGTCCTGCTAGCGCGGGAGGATCGGGGTCCACCAAAGGGGGAGGGGACCCTGAGGGGGGGGGGGGGTTCGTTCCGTGGTGCATCGAATTTCCGAAAAACCATGCCCCCCCGCGCGCCCCGATTGTCGACGCCTCTCGCGTTCCGGCGGCGCCTGGAGACCTCGTTTTGCATAGTTTTTCTGCGCTTCGATGCGCCAACGTACCGAACTCCCCCCCCCCCCATTGGCACCCCCCTCCCCTTCGCGAGGCTCCGAGAGGAGAGACTCCTCATCCTGAGCCAGGGCTTGAAGGTCCCAAGGCCCAGGGGAAGCCCCCCGGAGGCCGAGGACGACGAGCAAAACTCCAGGGGCCCGTCCCGCAGGACCCGCTTCTTTCTTTGCCGGGCATCCTGGTCGGACAGCGGGCGGCGCTGGCCGAGCCGCAGCAGGGGCCAGAGCCAGATCAGCAGCCACCGCGACGCGGCGCCCGCCTCCTCCAGCGGGTGCTGCTGCGAGGCGAACGCCTCCGGCGGAGAGGCAGCGCCCATCGCCCAAATGGGGCCCCCACCTGGAATATCCCGGCGGCCCGCGGGGCGGCGACTGGCGTTGGCCCAAAGAGCTACGCGCAGACACTCACATAGACACGCAAACACCCACACTGACGCGCAAACGCAAATCTGCACGACCCTGTCGGCGTGCACGAGAGGCTGTTTAGTTTGATTCGTCGTCGTCGTCGTCGTCGCCGCTCCCCGATTCTCCCTGGGCAGTCCTCCTTGAGCGCGACAGCCGAAGCAAAACAGCCCAAGCGAAATTGGGCAACATCGTAACTGCTACGATTGGAAACCCCTTCCCTTCCTCCCTTCCCCGGCGAGGGGGAGTCCCGGAGGGGGGGGGCCCTTCCCTCCCTTTCATCCCTCCCTCCCTTTCATCCCCTTCATCCCTTCCCCGACCCGGGGAGGGGTCCTGGGGGGTCGTCCCTGGGGGTGGTCCAGGGTCGAGGCCCCCAGGCGCCCCCAGGGAGCCAGCAGGAAGCCCCAGAGTGCTCCCAACAGGCTGCCAGGACACCCCCACCACTTGGCACCGGAGGCTCACAAGAGCGCCCCAGAGAGACTTCAGGAAGCATCGGGGCCCTCATCCGTCAGCGCGCCAACCCAAGCAACAGTGCCACAACGAAATTGAGCAACGTCGCGGTTGAGCAGTAAGGGAGCACCTTCGCATCCCTTCCCCGCCTGGGAAGGAATCGTGCGACACTTAGTTGGTGTGATTCGGTCAGTGGGTTTTTTTTTCGTGACGTAACCAACCGAACGCAATGTAAACGACATGCAAGAAGTGGGAACTACGTCCCACGTCGACGTCATCACACGGCAACGTTTTGTCCGCCGGCCCCCTTGTGGGGCCACCAGGCTGTAGGCCGAAGTTTCCCAGCTTCCTGTGCCAGTTGCAGCTTCCCGTCTCCAGTATTACCGTTCTGCTTTTTGTTGCTTACTGATACAGCTTTGCTTCTTGTTGTTTAATGTTCCTGGTTGATGGACCGCGCGACGGGGGGGGGGCAAAACAAACATGAATTTTTACCACGCCCTGAACGTGTTGTTTGACTTGCTGGGGTGGCTAAGAATTAACACCTCTCACGCAGATCGGAGGGGGCAGGGTCCAAAAACAGATTTACCACATTCCTGAATCCGGCGACGCCCCTTATGCAGATCGGCGGGGTCAGGGTCCAAAAAACATGAGGGATTTGCTACATTGTTGCAATGTGCTAGCACCCCTCACGCAGATCGGCGGGGTGAGGGTCTAAAAACACATTGAATTTGCAACATGTCGGATCTTCGGTGGCACCTCTCATGCAAATCGGCGGGGTGAGGGTCCAAAAACATATTAGATTTGCAGCATGTCGTACATTCGTTGGCACCCTTCACGCAAATCGGCGGGGGCAGGGTGCAAAAACACATGGGATTTGCAACATTTCAAAACATCCGGCGGCGCCTCTCACGAAGATCGGCGGGGCCAGGGTCCCAAAGCACAATGGATTTGTAACATTTTTGACATTCCAATGGATTTGCCACATCTCTAAAATTGGCGGGCACCCCTCACGCAAATCGGCGGGGTCAGGGCCCACAAACATATGGGATTTGCCACATTTCTGACAGTCGGTGGCGCCCCTCACGCATATCGGCGGGGTGAGGGTCTAAAAACACTTGGGATTTGCCCCATTTCTGACATTCGGTGGCGCCCCTCACGCAGAGCGGCGGGGTCAAGGTCCAAAGACATAAAAAATTGTCGTTTTTTTTGATATTCGGTGGCGCCCTCACGCCGCCGGCCCATCTCAAGCTGGGACCAGGGCGTCAACCGTCTAAAAAAAATAATCTTGGGCCCGAGCCCTTTCCTGGAAAGACCAGTTGGCCCGCGCCACTTCTGGGAAACAGAATTCCGCTGTTCAGTCGGGTCGCGGAGCGGCGCCCGCCAAATTGAAACGCGACGCGGCGCCGGTGACTGGCGCCGACGCCCAGCCGCCAGCGAGAAGGGTGCTGGAGCGGCACAGACTGGGGGGGCGGGGGGGGGAGCGGGAAGCCAGGGCGGCAGAGGCACGAGCCGTGGGCGCCGCCACCGCCGCGGTGTTTCCTCGCTTCGCAGTCGAGCGGAAACCCCGCCGCCGCGATGGAAGCGGTCCCTGACGGAAGCGGGCCCAGAACCCTGGAGTTCCCGCCGGGACTACACCGGTCGATTTTCGGCTGCCTCGGGGCCCGCCGGGGGCCTGTGGGCCCGAAGGCGGGAAAATAATCGACCCACGAACCCGGAAAGGAATCTAGAAATGTGAAGCATGGCGACGTCGTCGAAACACTTGATTGGGCGACGGGCAATGGCAATGCTGGATGTATCGATGTTGATGTACCGTGCCAAGGGCTGTGCTGTACGGTGCCGTGTTGAGTTGTGATGTGCCATGCCGCGACTGTGCTCTATAGCGTTGTGGATCGAGTCCTCCTTTGCATCCGCGTCCTGACCGAACCGATCTGGATCTTGAGCTCGACCTGCCTGAGCAGATTTTAGCTGCCCCAACTAATTGACAGGGGGACCTGCCAGGGGGGCGCGCCGCGGAACGTCCCAAAGGACGCGCCAGGGGACGTGCCGTAGGGACGCACCGCGGAACGTGCCTTGGGGACGCGCTGCGGAACGTGCCAGTGGACGTGCCGTTGGTTGTGCCAGGGGACGCGCCGCGCAACTTGCCAGGGGGACTCGCCACGGGACGCGCCGGGGAACGTACCAGGGAACGTGCCAAGCGACGCGCCAAGGCGTTAGGGAACGTGCCACGGGACGCCCCTGACCCAGGGCCACGATCCCTCGTACGTTACACTGCGTCCGCGCTCCCAGGGCCATGATCAAACGTAATGTATGCATCGTCCGCTCTCCCTGGGCCACGACCCCTTGTAAACTATGTTGCGTCCGCTCTCCTGGGGCCACGATCCCTCGTAAACTACGCACGTCCCCAATAAACTACGCTGTGTCCGTCCCCTCTGGGCCACGATCCCTGGTAAACTACGCTGCGTCCGCGCTCCCAAGGCCACGATCCACCGTAAATGAACCTGCGCCCGCGCTTCCCAAGCCACGATCCCTTGTAAATGATGTTGCGTCCACTCTCCCTGGGCCACGACCCCTCGTAACCTACACTGCGTCCGCGCTCCCAAGGCCGCGCTCCCGAAAACAATCATGTTAGATACCCCCCTGGGTGGCCTGGACACGTAAAAACACGTGGGACCAGCTCCGGGCAACCATGTTAGATACCCCACTGGGTGGCCTGGACACGGTAAAACACGTGGACCTTGCTCTGGACAGTCGTGTTAGATACCCCCGTGAGTAGCCTGGACACGTAAAACACGTGGTCCTTACTCGGGACAGCCATGCCAGATACCCCCGTGGGAGGACTGGACATGTAAAAACACATGGTACCAGCTCTCGGCAACCATTTTAGATACACCCCTGGGTGGCCTGGACAGGGTAAAACACGTGAACCTTGCTCTGGACAGTCATGTTAGATACCCCCGTGGGTAGCCTGGACACGTAAAACACGTGGTACCAGCTCGGGACAACCATGTCCGATACACCCCCGGGTGGCTTGGACACGTGAAAACACGCGGTCCTTGCTCGGGACAATCTCATGTCAGATACCCCCTGGGTGGTTTGGACACGTAGAAACACCTGGTGCCAGCTCGGGACAACCATGTTAGACATCCCCCTGGCCGGCCCGGACATGTAAGAATACGTAGTTCCAGCTCGGGACAACCATGTTGGATACCCCCCTGACTGACCTGGGCCCTCGTGGGGCCTCCTGGACAGGGCCAATACATAGGGACACGCGTAAAAAGCACACGGATTCGTGCCTCTGACCCAACTGTGTCCCGCACCCTGTGAGTTATCGATCGGGATTTCAAAAACCAGGCTCGCTAGGAACATCCTCGAAATCAAATTCCGTCGGCCCTCTTTGACCTCTACTTTTATCTCAGTATGATTCCGCCAGCCCACCTCAAATCGGGGCCAGGAGGGACAAAACACTCAAAGAGAACCCTGGGCCTTTGCCCTTTCCAACAAAAACCTGCCACCACTTCCCGCAGGACACGCGTCCACCGCGGCACCCCGCAGCGAGTCCAAAAAGGCGAGCCAGCCAAGCGCAGAGCGAAGCTCGGCGTGCTCGAAAGGGGCGTGGGAAAAATTGGCATGACGTCTACAAACAAATGATGTCCGACACCGACAGCGGCCGCTGCTGGGCAAGGGACTCGTTGCATCGAACTGTTAACATCCGCGGGGACACCCACAAAATGCAAAACAATTGTCGGTGTTCGTCCCCGCGCATTCCGTGCCCGTTTACTACGCGCCGGAAAGCTGCCTTGGCCTGGTCAAAGCCAGGGAGTTGCCGGCTGGCTCGTTGGCCCGCTGGCGCGGCGGGCCAGAGGAGTGGTGGCGAGCTTTATCACGACATAGAATACATGAAAGCTATGTTTCTGATTCCCCCTGCTTTTCTATGTTTTGGTGTTCTGAGGGCTGGGGAGGCCTGGGGGGAGTGGTGGCGAGCTTTGTCACAACATAGAAAACATGAAAGCTATGTTTTCGATTCCCTTTGCTTTTCTATGTTTTGGTGTTCTGAGGGCTGGGGAGGCCCTGGGAGGGGGGGGGGGGGGCGCAAGGCCAGTCAAAATCCCCCCCCCCTGAAGGTCCCAGGGCCGAGGAAGACCTCCCAGAGGCCTCTACGAGGCCTGCAGGCGTACCGCCAGCGCCAGGAATTTTAGGAGGCTCCCAGACGGCTCCAATTACAGCCAAAACTTCGTGGGGGTTCTTGGGCACCTCTTGGGGGCCTCGTGTAGACATCGTGGGGGTCGTTGTCAAGGGTTGGCGGCACCAGCCGTGAGGCCTTAGCGATGCAGGCACCCACACACGCAGCAAGACCCCCTCCCCCCCCCCAACACTCACATACACACGCACACACACACGCACACACACACGCGCACACACACGCACACACACATACTCACAATCACACAGACACAGACACACACACACACACACCACACACAACACACACAACACACACACACACGCACACACACAGACACACACACACACGCACACACACACACGCACACACACACGCAAGACACCCACACACAATTACGCACACACAAACAAACACACACACAGACAGGCAGACGCACACACAGCCACACACACACACACACGACACACAGACACACAGACACACAGACACACAGACACACAGACACACCCACACACA